TTTTTTCAGGTTCCCTGTGCAGGGGGTATATATTATAGTAATTACAGTGAAGATCACTGAGAGCTCACGAGAAATCCACTGCATCACCACCATCACTGGAAAAACAACTGACACACCCAAGAGCCACAAAGCCATCACTTCTTCATCTTGTGCCAACTCTCGTCTCTCATCCCGCCACTCCTCGTTCAAACTCATCTCGCCACCCGAGATGGAACCCAGCACCCAGCCGAGCACGGACAACGCCGCAGCGCCCACCAGGTACTTTCCTTGGCCGGTGTGGTGGAGAGTGGGCCAAAAATCAGGGTACATTTAAACAATGTATTATCTTGTATTCAGAAGTCCTGTGGCTTAATGAAGTAAAACAAAAAAAACACAATTCGAACAGCGTAGAACATCTTTTTACATTAGTTTCTCGGAATCTCATCTTTCTTCGGAAAACAACATGGATAATATTGCATAACATATGTAAAGATGTGTCGACGTTTGAGATAACGCGTGTAGAGCTAGTACATCTCTGAAAAGTCATGCCATCTGGTGCAAACACATCTCGAAGACATGTCGAAGACTTGTCAAACTCTTGCACGACATGTTTCAAATAACGTTGTCTTAACGAAGAGGTAACGACGAAACAAATGCAAATGGTCAATAATCAGTGGTATATGGCTATTGCCGATTAACACTTGAAACAAACAAATCCTGTGGCGACACGTGACTAGAGTCGACGTACGGAGTGGAGCAACATCTGTTGGCGATTTATCTTCTTTCCACAAGTTGTTTAGAACATGTTTTATGAGCATGATTTCCGAAAACAAACATGACAAATTGTTTAGTTGATTTTATACGCCGTGACAAATGGACTTCTTGACAATCAGGACCTTCAAAACATACACTCTGTGTTTTTAAAATAACACTGCAGTAGCAGGCTGTTAGACTAATGAATTATAGATATTTAAAGTATAACAAACCAAGTGTCTCACCAGGGCCTTCCGTTCGATCAACGGCTCGATCCAAATCCAGGGCTCTTTAGAGGTTAAGGGGCATCCATGAACCACTCCAAATGATGCGAATGAGGTGCGTGTTCATCAACCGTGCGCAGTAGGATCTACCAAAACATCACAGGGCACATGGCTGATCCTCCTACCTTTTGAGATCTAGGGGCCACAAATCAGTATGCTTCCTGGGAATGTGCCACCGAAAGGACTGGCTCGAAGTGTTCGCCAAGTGGATGACTGCTCTGGCCTAAGGGTAGCCCGACATCTGGGGAACGTGCCCATCAATAGGTCGTCACCATTATAGACCATTGAGAATGCATGGGTGGCACGAATCTCAGTGAAAGCAGGTCCACCCTACAGAATTCGGCGTTCCAAAAAGTCATGACTGCAACTAACTACCAGCACCGAACCCAACAGGTCTCCGAAATGGAGGGCTGGGAAAGGGCCTAACGCACAGGTTTCAATTGGTGACCTGTTGGTCGTCGGTGCTAGTTAGTTGCAGTCATAGATCCGAGTAGGTCCTCTCATGTCCTCCCTCTGCTCACTCCTTTCTGACTCTTTCTTTCAAGCACCAGCTCCTCACTCCCACTACACACAGCCACCCCCGCACGGTGCATCGTCCCGGTCCCGCTGCGGAAGCCCCACGCCAGGAGCCTCGAATCACCGCCTCTTCACCCGAGGAGCTGAGACGTCCCATGGCCGGGTTCGTCTGGTACTCGCCCAGGAGTTGGTCTCGTTGGACCTCCTCCTTCGTCTTTTGCCGCACTTCACCTGGCGTGGTAAGTGTCCCGCCACGTTCGGCGGAGAGGTCCAAGCGTCGTGGTGGCGGAGTCGGGGTGGTGAGCGAAGCCGGGTAGCTTGGTTTGGCCAAGCGGAGCTTGTGGGCGGTGGCAGGATGCAAGGGAGGGTTGCCGGGGTTGTGACTGAGGAGCTTTGGAAAGGCTGCTGTAGTAGATCTAGTCACTCTAAGACTGGATGCTCTTGGATTACCACTGGGGCTGCTGGGTGCGCACTCCCCAACACTATCCAACACTTATATATATATATATATGTGTGTAATATATATCTATATAATATATATGTCATCTTAAGTCTATGCTTCTCGGTGAATGTCTTCGAAAGCATTCGGCAAGCTTTGGGGATGGTTGCTTGCGTCATCCTTTTCAAGCAGAATCCAGAAGTGGGCCAAAATTCACTGGTTGGTGTCACTTCATTTGACAGATGTTAGGGATCAAGTGTCCCAAGTAAAGGTTGACCATAAACACATCTGAAACCACCACCCAAAAGCTTAAATCATCAAATAGATGGAACATGAAAGGTTGCATGGAGGACTCACAAGGGTAGTATGGGCATCCTTAATCCTTCTGGAGGAGTTCTGTTCTGCTCGTGCCGCACTTCATGCGGTATCTGTGTTCCGGCACCCCATGTTCTGATCATTGGCAACCAAGCTCCCCACTAGCTCAAGGAAACAGTGCCCTGGTCTGTAGGTGTCGGGGCCGCCCTTCACACAGGCTCTCGGATGATGGCCGCCACCCCCAAACAGCTGCAGAACAGGGGGGGGTAACTGAATGAATGCGTGCGATTGGATGAAGGGTGGGAACCTGTTTGAACCGTCCTCCCACTAAAGCGCAACAGGTCGCTGTAATAGCCGCCATCCCCTGGCAAACTCCTCTTGTTCCGGCTGTCTTCCACCAAATAGGAGGTGGCCTGGCCGCCGAAAGAACAGTGGGAGAATGTTGGACCGATCCTGTTGACCAATCCACTTGGGATGAATCATCCATGAATTTCCTTGAGGAACCTGGAAGAAAAGACGTGCGCCCCCGCAGTCGCAGACAGACCGACCATTCACCCATGGTTTCGGCCATTTTCCGAATACCAACCCAGTGGTTTTAGGGGTCCATGTAAACAAAAGGAGAGAGATTCATTATTTCCACTTGTGATTACAATCTTTGTTTGAATGCAAATGATGATCCATGTGTTATATAACAATATCATACAATATCCATATATATATATGGCACATATCACAAACTGGAGGGACCATCACTTGGAACGCCATCGAGACGAGTGCTGCGCATCACCCGGACACCGCTTCTTCTGGTCGCTTGCCATCGATCGAGTCCGAGACGGATGGTTTGAAGTCGACCATCGCTACCGTTCCGAGCTTCCTGTTCCTATAGTAGTAATGCACTTAGTTAAACTAGTTACTAGTAGCGATGCACTTCTGTTTGATTCTTGAACTTGGCACTTGCAGTTTTCAGGCGATGCGCCTTGAATTATGTCGTATCTATATCTCTGCATGGCAAGGGGGTCCCTCTTTCAGCAGTGGTAAGGTTCATGTGTTGAGTCTTGAGCTTGAAGGACTTGTCAGCAAACCAGTCAGGGGACAGCTGAAGAACAAAGATGAATTCTGGACCCCAAATTCCATTGAGCATCCTTCTTTCCTTCATCCTACGTTCGATCGCTCTTTCACTCCCAGATACTCCCAGAATACGTTGCACCACCTGCTCCTCTTTGCAGCTGGAGTCATGTACGGCTTTCCGGGTACCATGTGTCGGGTCACATCTGTCATCAAGTCACCCACATCCGACGTGTGGTCACCGCTATGGCTACGGCCAGCAAGGGCGGCCCAGCTGGGAGGCCGGCTTGCCAGCCATGTGAAGGCCACGGAGCGTAACGGGCGTAAAAAGGGCGATCATCTTGAACGGAGCCCAAACGACACCTCCGGCAGCCCTGGGAGAACTCAACGTAGAATCAGTTGGATTCGGTTGGATTCATCCAGATCTCAGGGTATATATATATATATATAATCTCTCTTGCTCTCTCTAGTCTCTAGTCTCTCTCTCTATTGTGTGTATATTATGTGATATAGTAATTCTATGCATGCCAGAAACACTGCCAGAATCATCTGCATACACTCGGCTCCACCCTTCCCACAAATGTCCCGAAGCGCCTTCAAGCCCTTGTTGAGAGGGTCCAACAGGCTACTGATGCGCAGCAATAGCAAAAAGCTTACCGCCATTGTGAGCCCCAAGCCTCACCACGACGAGGTCAAAAAAGAAGTGGCCTAAGACAACTAAGAAAACAACTAAGGAATTCGGATTCTGAAGTCCAAATCTGGATTCTGGCATCATGTGACTCTTAGAAGGTACAAACCCATAGAACACCCCCAGCAAACCCCCAGCAAACCTGCAGAACTCACCCACTGGTGAGTCTAAGAAGCCAGCAAATCCGACCACTGACCGATCATCACGAACCCCGCCTGGATGGTTCCCTTCTGCGTTCGACAAAGAAAGCTGTCACGGGTCGCGACATCCGAACTCCATCGGCGAGAGAGCCTAGACTTGGTAATTTGCTGCCCCCAGGAATGCCAAAGTCCCTGGAAGTCAAAGACCTTTTTTTAAATGGTTGATCTGGTTTTATAGTGTAAACCCTTAGTACAAACAATGGTGGTTCGGGATTCAGGCTATATTAATATCATAAACAATGGTGGTTCGACTTCTAGGGAAGTATTCAAACTATTAACGCATGGTTAGGGGATTTGAGCCAGTTCGGGCAAATCAAACCAATCACCTCTTTCTGTAAACGCCAAACGGGGCCAGGAACGGACCTCAAAACGGGGCCAGGTCCGTTCAGACCGTTCTTCCAAAACCACCAGGGGTTTGGACCTGGCCCAAGGTTGGACCTGGGTCAAAACCTGGACCTGATGGGGGGTGACATGGGGATGATGCTCCTTCCATCTCCTTCCCATACTGGGTCTTTTCAGGTGAACCGATGGTTTTCTTCACCATCAACCTTCACCTTCGATCATTTTCCGTGCGTGCGAAAAGGGAGGAACGGGCACCGGGACGGCAGGGACCCAAAAACAACACCTCAAAAACCCTTCCCCAGGTGAGGAGTCTTCACCCAGGTGAGGAGTCTTCACCCAGGTGAGGAGTCTTCACCCAGAAATAGGAACCGCATCACCCTTACTCTGATCGCTCTTCTTCACCCCAACAAAAGCCGCTTTCTTTCCTCCCAGGCGACCGTAAGCAAAGGCTGCCAGCATGTTGGGAAGGAAGATGCCCTCCTGTCCGATTCCGAGGTCTATCTTCGATCGAGAAGAAGGTCATGCCAGGATGAATCTCATGGCACCTTCGTCCGACCAGACCCAGGTTTGGCCGACACGGACCCGTCCCATCCCCATAGCCATAGAACGAAAAGAACAGAGAACATCATGCCAGGGGATTGGCCCCAGTCGGGGAACGAAAACCATCACCAAATTGCGCCAGAGAGCATTCAGGAGGATTCGATCCCTAAGGCCCTGTAGGAGCTTCGAGTACCCCAGAAGCTGGTTGCTGTTGGAGCTGGTCACTCTCTGGCAATCATTCGGGTGGAAATCCCTCTTGTGGAACAGCATTGCTCTTCTCCAGTTCCTTTTACTGGCCGAATAGTGAACACTGGCCGCAGCATGTTGCAACTGCATGTCAAAACACTTCCCACTCACTCTTTCTTAAGCCCACCATTGCCACGAGGTTTCCACGCCCGCCTCACGGTCACCGCCACGAAACGCTGGCCTCGTCGCTCGGGGGAAAAACCGTCACGCTCAGCAGGATGGAAGGTACAAAGGCCACCGCAGTGAAGGAGGCCATTCGCTGGGCAAATTCCTCCTCCTCCTGGCGAGAAGACCTGCAACCTGCAGGAGACCTCGAAGGAAGGGTCATTGTCTCATATTGTTTCCATGCCTCAATCGAACATATATTGATATTACTTAACTATATAAATTCAAGACATCAAGTTAATTGAGTCGCTGGTGAGGCACATCGCTCATAGTTGGCCCATCACACCAGCGTGTTATGGTCATGAAAAAGGGGTTTGAGATGGTTAGATTCCCGGAACCTAACATGGAACCTGAGATATGGTACTCTAGCCTTAGCTGAAAGACTGTTTTCCTCGACAAATCCAGTAAAATTTCAGGGTCCAAAGTCAAACACTCCATGGGACTGGAATTCTTACCCACAAAAATGGGGGGTCATCAATGGGGCAAAGGTAACTGCCATATCTGCAATGATCCTTGTGCCCAAATGCTCCAAACAGTCCAAAACCGGATTGGTTCGACCCCAGACCCCTGACCCCAGGATTCGGGGTCCGACCCCAGACCCGAGGCGTCTGGTTGGTCAGGGACTTTGGGAAGTCGACCCTAGGGCTCCAACATGCTGGCCCATCTCATCAGCTTCGGTTCTCGCCGAGGGGCCAAGAAGCCCCAAGACCCTAACGGATCCGACTGCACGCGCTTGTACTCCTGGAGGTGGCCGCTCGACAGGCTTGGAGATCTCTTAGTTTTTGCAAGCTGGACATGTATTCGATTGTCCCCACGTCCGGTTTTCACGTGTTTCTTCGGTTTTCCCTCTTCTTCAGTTGCTCAGTGTTAGACAACAGCGGTGCAAGACCACCGGCAGAAACACTGGTGCCCCCAGCGCGGGAGACCCGCGCGGATGCATAAAGCGACCCGGAGGAGAATGGCTGTTGGTTCAGACCGAGATTTTAGGTCCGTTGCATGCAAGTTGCGGGTACAAAATGTTGATCTGATAGAAACCCAGCACCCAGTGGTGTTTTCATACATTGAATTGCTGTTCAAACATGCTTAACACGGACATAGTTGGGAGTCAATAAGTTGCGTCCTACATAATAGTTGCATACTACTGTATATGGCAATCCTTTATCTTGCAAATCTCCATGGACATCCTGCTGTGTGACATCCCAAGTGAAACATCTCGCCCTTGACCATCTGTGAATTGAAATATTGCCCTCTCAGTCTGGCAAATAAGATCAAATAAGGTTTCATCAAGAGAGCTTACCCGACAGGTCACCAGGTTGAACATATATTACATGGATATTAACATATGGAGTCCCTCAAGAATCCCTAGAAAGAGCAAGAATCCACTAAAATCGTCATCGACAAAAAGCACTGGTTGGTGGTCTCCCTATGGTCTTTATTATGCCTGACTAGTGACTAGACGCAATTTAAACCTCATAAAAAGCGCATTTGGTGGCACTGGAACTACTACTGAGATCCAATTTTCAGATCTATTTCACCCCGCGAGTCCACCGCGACCCGCTTCAACATCACGCAGTTTGCACGTCGACCGTGGGCAGCAGGGTCTCCGCGATGGGGTCGAAGGCGGACTCCCGCCGTTTGGGCTTGGCGCGCCGCCGCACGGCTGCGAGGACGGGGAGGGTCGCTGTGAAGGCGCGACCTCGAGGGTCGCGGTGGGACATCGGGGGTCATGATGGGTGAAGGCCGTACATGACCGGTGCTGGAACATCACCGGAAAGTGGCTTCGAATCTGGAAAACCAAAGTCTTAAAAATCACTTGAAATCTGCATGAAAACTGGTACCACTACTGGTACCTCTTTAAGATGTTGGGCTTTCTGGGTTAGATTGTGTTCACTGAATCCCACACAAAAGGCCTTCAACTGGGCTAGGAGGAGTCCTGAACAGCCCGGCCCACACGTGGGTGGGGGGTCCATGCTCGGTCTTTTGGACGTCCAACACCGCGATCTGGGCAGAACGGAACGAGTTCAAGCTTCCTGAGATTCATCAAACCACCCCACTTGGATGGTCAAAGCGAAAGAAACACTTTGGGTTTTGATTCATCAAGCATCTATGCAGCACCCTCACTGCCAGGTCACCACTTCTTTCTTCGTCATTTCAGCCACCGGAAATCGGAGACCTGTTGAGCATGAATGCTCCGTCCTCCCTTCGAATCGCGCCTGCTCCATGCCGACATCCCGTCGCTCGAGGCTGCTCGATCGAACTGCGAGGTGCGAGGAGCGGCACGGCGGGTCCCGTCACCTGGGAACTGAGGCGGGTCCGTGCCATGGGCGGCTGCCGACGTCAGAACACGTTCGGTCGTTAGACCCACCCCTCCCATCTTCGAAACGGAGGGGCGGCCGAACATGAATGTTTCCTTTAGGCACAAGGCTTGGTGGCCTGGCGTTCGGTGGGCTGGCCGCCCAGTTGACCGGCCAACTCGAGAAGACAAAGATGCATTGTCCTAACGCCACATCGATTTTTGGTGTATCACCGCCGCCATCATCATCATCATCATCATCATCTTCTGCTTCTTCTTCCAGTCCCCCCTTTAGCAAGGGAAAATGGCAATGGTCTTGTTGGCCTGGCGAACTCCCAGCAACAAACTCTCATATATGTCCGCCGACGTTGTAATTACGTATGTAAGTGGCACTTGAAAGGCCTTCAATAGGTGTCCTCAAAAGATTAGACTCGACTTAAAAAGATCTGAACAACTCTTAGGCCCTCAATGTTGTGTCTTTGAGACTTTGAGGTCGTTGAACCGTGTTGCCACGCATCGCATCTTCAGATTCTCGCTTGGTTGGTGTCAGTTGACCTGGTTGATACACCAAGACCTCTGAGGGGGCAGTGTGTCACAATGAGCTTGCATCGACATGAACACATTCACCTGAAGTATCAAAGTACATCGGAAGATGGGTACTAAGTACCTGTATCTATAGGGTCATGTCCCATTTATTCTAGAGGCCTTCAAGTTGGGTCCAGGTACGGACTGCGGCTGGACTGGTGGTCTGGAGTGCCAGTGCCCGCACGTCACGGCGTGGACACTCCATGAAATCTCCATGTATGTATGTATGTATGTATGTATGTATGTATGTATGTATGTATGTATCTATATGTATAACAATTCAATATACTTATATATATATATATGTACACATATATACAGTATTCCAGTCCCATGAAGAGTCAGGGTGCTGCTAGACTGCTCCCTCCCACCTCGAGACGCTCCGGCGCCAGCGACGTCAGCCGAGCAAACATCGACCTGGCGGGTCTCAGCCGACGGCGATCCATCGATTCACGGTGAGTCATGGTGAGTGGGGAAGCAGAAGTTGAAGAACCACCCTAGTTAGTAGGATCACCTCCGCGCCGAAACACCGCAGCTCTGCAGCCGGCGTCCGTTTTGGACGCACCTTGTACCGCCTTGTGCCCCATTCGAATGGGGGACCCACATCCAGCCAAAAGCGCAAAAGCAGCTGCACCTTGCACTTGTGACAATCAGCTGAATCCTTTTTGCCTTTTTGGGCCGAAGCGGCCCTGTCTCCCTCCGAGAGATGGGACTTAATCCCTCACGGCCTCAGAATCCAGCGGCGTTTGTCCATCCACGTTAGGGTTGCCTGGAGTGTCACTATGGGTCAGTGACTGCGAATGCTGCCAAGGAACGACAACGGGCCAGGGCGTAAACAGAAAGCAAATATAGCAGCTGGACAAGCAAACAGGAAAGAACATGTTTCCTGAACTGCTTAGCTGTTGATGCAAAGTACTCCCCCCTCACCATACCTGTAGCGGCAATCATTCATGTTGAATGTACCCACTCCATGCCATTCACAAACACGTTCTCATAGAATTGAACAAGAACTTTCGCTCACTATGACTTTTTTGCAGTCTTTGAGCGAGTCCTCCGCATGGGCAGTGCGAGAAGACAGCCTCAACACCAAGGATGTGCAATTGGCAAAAGCAGAATGCCCGATGTAGGTCACCGAGTGCGGGATGGTCAAGTCCTCCAAAGAGCAGCAATTCCGAAAGGCGTTGTGCCAAATGCAAGCCACTGAGTCTGGGATCGTCAAGCTTGCCAACGAGCTGCAACCCTCAAAGGCTCGATCCCCGTCACTGAGTTTGGGATGGTCAACTTCACCAAAGACGTGCAGCGCGCAAAGGCAACATCCCGGATCTCGGTCACAGAGTTTGGAATGGTCAAGTTCACCAAAGAGCTGCAACCATAAAAGGCACCAGTCCCAATGTGGGTGACTGAGTTCGGAATATTCAAGTTCACCAACGAGATGCAACCCACAAAGGCATGATCCCCAATGTGGGTCACAGAGTTCGGGATGATCAATGTGGCCAAACCTCTGCAGTGTAAAAAGGCCCGAGCCCCAATGCAACTCACTGAACTTGGGATCGTTAACTTTGACCATGTGGCACACCGGCGAAAGCGCTTTCAGGAATGTGAGTTTCGTCGCTGGGGATTTCGACCGCCAGCAGGTCCAGTTCGTTGACACTGCTAAGACTGGCGACCTCATCTTGTTGCAGCATACCACTACCATCATGTTTGGCCTAAAAACCACACTTACAACAGTATCTCTAGCAATTCCCGCGTCCAAAAGCTTGGCATCATTGGCCAGCAATTGGTTGCCATTGACAATGATCTCCACATCTGTAGTATTGCGAGTAATCTCGTCGCAAGGCTCTCCTTCTTTGATCTTCTGCTTTAGCTGCCTGCCGGTCATCTCTGGCATAACTTCGAGAACCCTGCTTTCACCACTTGGCAGCAGCACTGAAATTCGCTGCAACGCCATGGTTCAAAAACATTGAATATTTGGCTAGCTAATTGCCTTCTCTTCTGCTTTCCGAGTACGCCTGCCAAGCCATGCTAAGCCGCTAAGCCGTACTTTGCGCCGTCACAACTGCCCATGACTCATGAGCATATAATATATAATATATAGGTATAAAGATAAAAGTTAGTCAGTAGCTTTGGGGGCACTCCAGCTCGTGCCTCGATGCCGAAACGCTTGAACCAATGAAGGAACACCCGAAAAACAGCTCAAACCTGGTCAGCACCTTCCGATTTCTTAGGGGTCACCTGCCTGGAAGAGCCCACCCCGCCCCACTGCAGGTGACTTGATCTCCACACAGGACACCCCGGACAGGAAGATCCAGGTGAATTCTTCTATAGGGCTCCAACCACATCCTCAGAAGGTGGTGGTTACCGCTTTCTCAGGAGCTAGTTGGAGCCCTAGGGCTACGCGGTGCCTCTCGCCCTCGGCCGCCTGCAGCTGCAAGCCCGCCCCCTTCCGCGTTCGGTTCCCCCGGCCCCCAGCTTGACGCGCGCGCGGAGGGGAGGCGGGTGAGACCGTGCAGACTTAGAAAGATGAACCATCCAAGAATCCCTAATAAATCCAAGTATCTTGTCAGGTGATTGGAGACACTGCTATGTAGGTGCCAGGGCTGCGGGTCCAGGTACCTTCACCTGAGAAAGAATGGATCCCTGGATCCCTATGGAAGGTCCTTCCAAAGCTCTAAGGTTCGCTCCTTCCATCCCACATCAACCCCGCAACATCTCAACCAGTGGGACCAGGATCTTGTGGAGATGTATCCCAGACACGGCACATGGGACTGCCATATATGCCGATCAGGCCAGGGGTGGTTTCAGGGGTCAATGTAGGCATATATGGCAGTGTCTGGGTATGGAGATGCTTTGTGTTCTCTATTAGTCTATGGCGGATGGCGGGCCCCGGTGGATTCGGAACCACTCCGGGCAAACGGTCCCGGTCGATTTTTGGAGGCTGCCCCCCCTTGTCCGATCCGTCTATCGAAGTCGTAGGTCGTGTGGGCGACCTGATGCTTTCAACTCCTTTGCCACTTGGATCAACAAGAGCGGCAAGCGATGACGCAATGCATTCGGTCTATTCGATCCTTGTCGGCTCGTGGCTCGTGGGGGCTCGTGTAGGGCTAAAGTTCGAATGAATTAGACCCTGGAAGAGGCCCACATTGGACCCTGAAAACCACTTGGTTGGTATAGAGGAACATCGTCTTCCACGGAGCCATTGTCAGGGTCTATGCTAGTCTGGAGTGTAGCTGGAGTGTAGCCATTGGCGCTCGGTTTTTTGGTCCGATTGCGTGCATCCAAAGTCTTCCCTCGGCCGAGGGCTGACGATCTTTTGTACAGGCACCCGGCCGAAGAGGCAAAGTACAGGACGAGTCTCAGTCCTTTGAATGGGCCACCCTTCACTTGGTTCCGCTGCGGATCGTTGATGGATATTTTCTGGCGAAGGCGAAGCAGTCTTTGAGAAGACTTTTTTGGGTCCGTGAAGACACAAAGAAAAAAGGGGAAGCAAATCTCATGGAACTTCGGAGGGACATGACAGCAACAAGCTCAGCGGTTGAGCTCGCAAAGAACCTGTTGACTAACCCCCACCTGCTCTCGGCACAAATGATGAACCACCCCATCTATCCTACGTGTCTATAGACTGCAAACACCAGCTCTCTTCGTTCTTTTCGACACCGTCCCAAACATGAACTGACGTGAGCCTGGCACCATGTTCTGACACCCGAACGACTTAAATGGAGGTCACCCACCTTCTGGCTCACCCAGGTCTCTGCGTGGTCTCGGCTCGGAGTGTCTTTGGAGGGCGTTTTTCTCAGCACCGGCGGTCGGACAGCGGACTCGTCCTTGGACGGTGGATCTCGGCTTGACCATTTCATGCCAAGCGGAGCCCGGAGAGCCGTTTTGGTGGGGTCCGGAGGGCCAAGCGCGTCGTGCCGAGGGCGGCCAGGGCGGGTGTCCTTCACCAAGGAGGTGCCCCATGGCCCTATGAACTAATCCTCCAACGACCTCCTGAGAAGGTCCAGGGGTGGGTGCCAGGGGGGGTCTAACCACCTTCTGAGGGCATGGTTGGAGCCCTAGGGCAAGAAGAATGTGGCACCCAAAGTGGCAAGATTTGAGGTTGGAAGAGTTTGCGAGTTTGAAAGGGCGGCGAATGTATTGAAAACGCACAATTCCGCCAAAGGATTCAAACCACCACACAGCAAAAAGCCTTCTTGGGTGTTCACCCTTTGATATTCTGTCGCGAAGCATGGGCACAGCAGGTGCCTGCCTTTTGAGGCACAGCAAAACAATTGAGATCAACAACTCCCCAAGATGTCACACACCACATGATGAACAAAATGCAACCCATTCAGAAATTCAGAATGTCCAGTAGGCCCACCAGCTCCTTTGCACCTGTTTTGGAGTTGAGAACATCAGCGTGTGGACATGCAGCATACATAAATCAAGACCTCCAAACGGATTCTATCGGCTATCCAGGCTCCTGAATTCGCACATCTCTCTCGCGGAACTGCCTGGGAGGGCGAGAAAAGGAGTCTTCCGGTAGTTGATGCTTTGCCCATCCCCATGCTTTGCCCAATACCCGTAGGCCACAGTTGCAGTTTCAAGCTGGGGGCGTGGGTCGGCATGTGTTGCAGCAATGCAGCCGCTTCGCGAGAGTTCTTCCATCCACACTGTCACCGTCTACCTTCATCTCTCATCGCAGCACATGCTGTCAGCCTGGGGTCGGGGTCGCTGACGTGCAGGATCGATTTGGTTAGCCAACCCACTTGTTGTTTACCATGCAGTCCCTACAGGTGCAGCCTTTACCTCCTTGAGTAGTGCTTTTTTGTATGACACACTCCAGGAAAAGGAGGCCGCTCACTGACCCGTAGGGAGTATCTTTCAGTCCTAGTCAATTAGTCGTCCAGCCATCGCTACTACAACAAGCTCCAAAGAGTTTCACCTTGCCTAAACCACAGGGATATGGACATCCCTGGTACCCCTCAACAAAACTACCATGGACCTTGAACATGCCCGAAAGTAAAGCTGTTCTCATTCACCCAATGGTTTTTGGTGGATCCATGTCGTCCATGTGGTCCAGTCCGGGCAGGTCCTCTGCGAGAAGGCCGGTTGGATGCGCATGGAGGACCAGGCCGGATCGAAGAAGAGTTTGGTCTTTGGGCATCGGAATTGGGACGTGGTTTCGCATGTCCAAGTTTGTTCTCCTCATGACTTATGAGTCTACTCGTCTGACCAACCATTGGGAAGAGACGTCTCTTCGTCATAGCCCATGAGTACTCAGTTCCATCCACCATCCCTACTTCATGCTTCTAAAGCAAGGAAGACTGAGGTAACCGAGAAGACCTTTCCTGACAAGGCATTTTCTCAATCCCATGTCGCCTTACTGCGGTTGATGAGCAGCTTGGCCTTGGGGAAGGAAAGGAAGGAAGGAAGGAAAAGGACTGAACGTCCTAGGCCTGGGGCCTGGATGGACCAACTATTACTATCGAGGGTTTATTGTATAGACGATGAGTTTGGTCCATACCCCACTACCAGCACAGAATTGGTTTATAAATGAAACTGGTCTTTCAAGTCCTGCTTTCTTCAGGGTCCATGGTGGGTATATCTCATTGCCAGGGCCAAGTGGAGGATGATTAGTACGGTTTTTCCTCAAACAGATTGATCATCTCTGACCGACTGTTACATACGAAACGCCCCGAAACTGATGGTCTGATGTTTTTTTGGGGGGGGTCCGGCCTTGAAGCTGAAACTAAACCATCAAGACTCCAGTAGAAGGTACTGTAGACACCACTATATGACAACGGCAACTTGACAAACATGTTGTTCTTGCTGAAGGTTCAAAAGTGATCAGAACTGTCTTGTGAACATAGTTCTGCTTAGAATCTTGCTGTCGACAATTATATATGTCAGCTCACACGGTCAAATTTCCTCACTCCAAAGATGTTGAATTAAAATCAACAACATGATGCCAGTAACTACGGCCCCACACATGGCCACATGAAATGGACTTCTTAATTCTACAGCAGCTGATCTGATCCACATATAGATACTTTTAAGACCCAGTGAACAAATTCTTTCCTCCTGAAATGCAGGACGGCGGATGGACCCTCATTATTGAAATTGTCTTGAAAACGTCCTTCATTCGATCAATGGCGACGGGTCGTGGCGCAGTCAACAACACGCCCGTCTGATTTCGGCGCCGCACGCGCCAATCGGATCACTTGGGTACGTATCAATAGTTCGCTTGGGTGTCGAGGTGTGGGTCAAAACAAGGGAACCCTGGTTGACCACCAAAAATGAAAAGAGTAGACTACCAGCCTCAGGAAGGTCAACCTACGCACCGAGGTCAACCTGGGTACACCATGGCACACCTCGCACCAGCGAGAATCTTTCTGGCACACCGTGGTCTGTTTGCAGCATGTGGTAACCCTCTTGTACCTTTGGAAGCTAGGAATGTTCAGAATTCCTGGCAGGGCCACTAATGACGACCTTGATGATGCAAGCGATGCAACAAAAAGCATCTTCATCTTTTGCATCGTGGCCAACTCACTAAGCCACTGCCAAAAAGCAAAAACACCTATCGACTGGGCTTTCGCAACAATCTCGCGTGGGACCGTGAACGCCCGGGGCTCCGCGCCAAAGACCTCCTTGATCTTGCTTCCTTTCGGCAACTTGCCCGCCTGCGGTTCCGGCAGACAAAGCGGCTATGAAACTGCTCTCACCAAATAGGTGTCACTGGTGCACAATGACAACCAAGAACCAAACGTGCGAAGGGAATTCAAGGTCCAAACAGGAATGAGTGCCTCATGATCTCGTGATCTCGTCGGTTGAGTTGCTCAGAGCTCCAGCTGTTTTCGTGACTTCGCCACGTACCTTCCTGCGGATCTTCTATGAGAACACATGCCACCTGTGGCGCCACCAGGAATCGACCACCAGGAATCGGTTGTTCACAGCGGCCGGAGATCCCGTCGACGGTCTTCATCTCCCCAACTGCACAACCCACTGACTTCTTTGCCATCTTCCGAAGCACAAAGGTAGTTGAGTCCAAGAGAGGTTGAGAGACCAGAACTGGGACCCTGGTCTGTGGTACAGACCGATGGGCGACAGGCAGTCGACAGGCTGTGAAAAAGCGAGTGGTTTGGAGCGTCCGGACCTGAAACGACGAAGGAGATGGAGCCCTCAAAACATCTGAAGTGCTCAGTTCATAACTGATTCTAACATTCAGACCAGCACCCTCCAACAGGTCACCACCCGCGACGTTTAAGTCTCCAAAAGCCACCATTTCGGAGACCTGTTGGAGGGTCCTGGTATATGCCCCCCTGCACATGAAAACCGTGGGCACTGTAGAGACCTCAAATTGCCTGATACCAAAAGAACAACACATATGTTTGATGATCAGTTATAGCATGACACCCGTCCCAAACCAATGCACGGTCTACTCGCCTCGCGTCTCCGTCCGTCCCAAACCAATGCACGGTCTACTCCCGTCAGAAACTTCTCCAGTCAGTCCCAGTCCGTCA